AAATCTGTGGAGCTACAGCTGTCGATACCTTCATGTTCTCTTTATAAAGTTTATGCTCTGGTTCGTTTTATTTCAGTTTTCAACCCTATTTCTCTCCTGGTCAAAGCTACTGGCTGAGGTTTTTCTCTCTTTAGACCAATGATAGCCTGTTTATTGGTTGCCTGTGCAACTTGGCTCAAAAAAATCCTCCCTTTCAACACAAAGGAAGAAGAGTCTGGGCTTTCTCCCTTTGACTTCAATTGTCTCTGATAGATTTTTTTGTTTGTTTGTTTTTACTAATTTAAATAATAAAATGACCTTAACTGCATTTTAAAAAAAAAAATATGTATGATTAATTAGAAATGTATGTAGCTGACTTTGAATCTGTTTGTATAATTTGATTAAATTAAAGGTTTTTGTGAAGTGCCTTGTGAACATGTGCCATAAGTTGGAGCTGTAAAAATAAACTAAATTGAAGATGACAGAACAAAAACCAGATTATCTGAACTTTGGTTGTAGTATATCTAGTTTTTGAAAGTATCTTTCACATTTGGACAAACCAACTCGATGCATGAGAAAAGGGGTCCATTTCTGAACTGCTCCAGAATCTTTCTGCAAGAAACGGTCCAAAAATGTCTTGGCATGCCAAAATTATGCAAGTGTTAATTAGACAAGTCTTGTTTTCCTGGCAACTGTCTGATCTTTAGACTGCCATTCAGAGGAGCATCGTTTGTCACTCCAGGGATTTTGGTAAATAAGTAAGACATTATTTTATTGTTACATTTTGCAATTATTTTTTTTTCACACATTGAAGCACAAAAAGTTTTTTTGTTGCATTAATTACTAAATATATTCTATTTGTTTGAAACAAAAGAAAAACAGCAGTCAGTATTATATTCTAAATTACTGCCCAAATAGGAGAAGCAAGTACTGAATATGAAGAAGTATAATACAAACAAATTGTAAATGAAAGCATATTTGAAGGGGGTAAAAAAGCTAAACAACATTTATAAACTAAAGAGCAGTTTCTTTCCAACTTACTCTTGTTAGGCTTCTTGTGCTCTTAGTCTCTTTCTCATTGAGAGGAGACATTGTCTTTCTGGATGCAGGCTTGTACTCGTCTCTGCTCTTTGCAGTGACCGAGGGAAACTCCAAAATAGAAAAGAACACATCAACCTCCCTACAACAAACACACACGGCCACACACACACGCACTCCTGCTGTTCTGCACTGCAGCCAACGTGCAGGAGAGAATACAAGAGACGTCCGAAAAGCCAGGGGAGCATTCATCCTCCTCCTCCTCCGTATTCTCCTTGCAGAAGACACGAAAGGTCTGTTTCCATGACAACAGAGTATTAAGGGGGAAGGAGAGCCATCCCAAAAAATGACACATTGGATTTTAGTGCTGGTGAGAAGATAAATCCTTTCTTGTGAGTGATACAGGTCACAAATTGTATTTGTTGAGATGTTTCCTTTATCAGTGCAATCAATGGAGCTGCGCTGTAAAATAAAGTATATTAATGTGTGGCGTCACAAGGAAACCAATAAAATTTATAGTTAATTTATTTAAAGGAAAGTTTGACTAATGTTTAGATATTTAAATAATGTTCTGATTAACGTTTTCAAAATAGAAAAGAACAAAGTTTCTTATCAATTAAAGCACCTCATTGTGTCACTGTGTTCATTAATTACAGAGTCAAATCCATTAATTTTAAGCCATATGACAGCATTTTCTACATAATCTTCTTTAAACCAATAAAAAACCAGGAAACAAATCAAAAGTCAAGCCATGGGTTTGTGAAAAATACATGTGAGGCTTGTATGTTTCACAGATGCAGAGCGATTTTGACTGGCGCGATTATCCGGCTGGTTGGCTGTTGTGTTACTGTCGGTGTGGTGATGTTTTCCCAGCCTGAGCAAGGTCAGTGAATGATTTGTGATAAAATGGTGTCTTAAAGATGGATCTTCACCAACTGTACTTGGCTGAGGTGCAGACAAGTGAAATGCGTGTGGAATTAAACTGCCAGTCAAGTGTTTTTCTCACCTTGGTTTGTCTGTTTCTGTATTAGTTTTGAAGTGTCAGGTTAGGTGCTTTGTCTTCTTTTCAGTGGCAATAATGTCTTGCAATGCTAGCTGGTGTCCCGATTTTACACTGAAAAGTAATGCAAAGTTGTGCATCTAATGCCAAATCTCCTCCAGGAGAGGAATGGCTCATGGTGTCTTTGCACCAGATAACATTTGAAAGAGAGACACGGTAAACAGAAGATTAATGTGACGCATCAATAACTCACTGAATCAATCACTCAGGGTAATATTTTGATAACATAATTTTTATTCTTAAACAATCACTAACTTCATTCTGAATTTTATAATCAATGCATATTTTTTTCTCACAATTCATAATGCATACATGAGTGTGTCTGAATGCAGTGAAATTATCTGCAAACATAAAAATATTAAATCATATTCAATATTTCAAACTATTCCAATGCTTTTGTCCCCCTATCATACATCAATAAACCCACAAAAAAAAGTGCTTCGCTGTTTCTAACTGTCTTACTCACTCCATTCTTTCACCAAATCGGCCCATTCTGCTGTCGGCTGACAATGTGCATATCCAGTTTCATGCAGTACTTTAACTCCACACATATCTCATATACACAATATAAATGTCTGTAAAAAGATACTTATATGCTGGTCTTGCCTTTTGACTTTCAGTGTCACATTAATTATAATGTACGATTCACAGTAATGCAGTATTGCAGGAGGTGAAGTGGAAGTTGAACTAATCTACCATTAGCTCTCGTTGGTGTCAGATGTGGGTCTGGATTTCAAGTGGAAGATCCTCCCAGATCCATGATGATGACTTGCCCACCACCGCTTGCTCTGTGCAGCTGAATGTGTGCTATTAACTGTACAAACTACTGACATGGCAACCAACAGCTTCCTCCCAGATGTAGAGGTGCATATATATATATATATATATATATATATATATATAGATAATATATATATATATATATTATATATATATATATATATATATATATATATATATATATATATATATATATATATGTGTGTGTGTGTGTGTGTGTGTGTGTGTGTGTGTGGGTGTGTGTGTGTGTGTGTGGGTGTGTGTGTGTGTGTGTGTATGTATGTATAAACCTTCACTAAAATTCTGAAACAAGTGTTGCATATAAAATGTTTATTTAGACATATACTCCCCAAAGTCAAAATATATATATATTATATATATATATATATATATATATATATATATATATATATATATATATATATATATATATATATATATATATATATATATATATATATATATATATATATATATATATATATATATATATATATATATATATATATATATTTTAGATTTCATCGGAAACTTAAAGAAACGTTTAAAGTCATGTGATGGCCATGCTTTGTATTTGTCTGTTTTCTTCTACCAGTGTTCCTAACATGACTATGTTCAGCTGTGCATCATCCACCTCCATGCCAAATGCTTTGTGCAATGAGAGCTGAACCATAAGCAGCCATTATTTTTTTTTTTTTTTTAAAGTCAGGCTCCATCACCAAAACAACTGTGAGACTTCCTGAGATAGATCAACTAAAAAAGGAGGCTAGGAATGAGTGTAGCAGCGTACACAGTATGAGGTGTACCAGTCAGATCACAGCCCTGTAAGTGTGTGTAGATGTATGAAAAATAGTCATAATGCAACAAATGGCTCATTTCGTGTTCGGTTGCTCAATCAAACCTTCAGTTTTCACTGTGACTGAAAAGCAGTAAAATAATCGTGTTAAAATATTTGCATGACAGATTGTTGATTTATTAAACAGTCAGGCACCCTGTCCATCTGTATTAAAAGATCTCTAATGATTTCATAATGAACATAAAGGGAGTTCTGTAACTTAAAATTCTTGAAAGTTAAGAAATTCACCACTAAGCCTGCTAAATAAAATGTTGCTTTTCTGTCACCCTAAGCAAACAAGATAAAATCTCCTGTCAGAGAAAACGTCTTTATTTGTCCAATAGCTCTTATGCAGTATATGGAGTTATATCTTTGTGATTTGTTATAGCTAACAGCATGTCTTGATAACTGATAAGGTTTGTTACTGGCATTTCAACTTATGGATGGAGAGAAATCTATCCATCCATTTGTCCATTGTCTAACGCGCTCATCTTTGTATGGTCGCAAGGGATGCTGGGGCCCATCTCCAGCGGTCAACCCTGGACAATTAGCCAGTTGCAGGAGAAATCTACTTTATTTAATGTTGTAAAGTTCACACATTACTTTGCACAAACTCTACCCGTCTTTCTTATCATGTTATAACTGTAGCAAGATAGTAAATCCTTATTCTTACATTTACCAGCTTATGCAACTTTCTTTGTCAGTCATTTGTACAGACTAGTGCACCAGCCACAGCAACGTGTTGTCAGTTTGCTATTGCAGTCTTTTAAAAACATTCTAGATTGCCCTTTATGATATTGCTTGATGTAGTTCTGTCCTACTATAGCAGGAAAACAGGGGAGTTCATTCCCCATGAGTCACATTGGTCTAACTTACAGTACACACCTGAGTAAATTACATCCCACCATTTGTAACTTTCAGCCTTGACCTTTGACCTTGCAGTCAAGATGCTCTAGTAAGAAAGAAAAAAATACTCATGAATAACTGAAAAAGGTCAAGAGAACTGAACCACTATTAACCTCATAGTAACTGGGATCCCACTCAATAAAATAGTAATGATGGTTATAAAGATCATGGCTTGGGATATCTTTCACAACAACAACAACACAATAAAGGATAAAAGTGAAACAATGTTCAGGAAAAAAGAATGAAAAATGAACACGTATTAAAGCTTGTTTTTCACAACATAAAATAAAAATAACAGATATTTGAATATATGTAGAGACCACAAATCCTTTGTTTTCACAGCCTTTTTCTCAGTTTTGCATAAAATGTTGGTCAAGAATATATATATTTAAATATATATATTTATATATATGTAGATATCTAAAACATTTTCACAGGCAAGAGTTCAGTTTTGTTTTTGTTGTCTTGGTTGTACAGTAATAGCTCCTTGCAGCTGTCCCACGCCCTCTTTTGCTTAAAAAGAGTATGGAGGTCCAGATCTCTCAGGGGGAGCAGTGTGGTTTATTTTTTTCAACTTGGCCCCTTCTCCCTCAGTCAGGATGAGGCCGACCCCTACCCACAGCTGGAAGTCCCTGTAACTGGTGCTATGTGGAGTCTTGATTGACAGCTTTCCCTCCATTCATGGTGGGAGTCCCTGAGCTCTTCCTGGAGCGGTGCTTGTCCTCTATCTCATGCAGCGACGGCTCCCGGTACATACAAACTGTGGCAGAAATGCAAACAAAAGGGAGGAAAGAAAAAGGACAAAGATAGGAGGTGATCAGAAGGGGACGGCGGAGAGCAGATTGAAGAGATGGGCGTGCAGACACGGACAAGGTTAGGTGTGAGGTTGGGACAATTATACCAGGCTGAGAGGGAAAAGACAAGGGAACGAGGACACACTGTCAGCACTTTTTGCTATCACACACCTTGACAGGTTCTCATGATAAGACTGATCTCCTGAGGGAAACACATCCAGCTGATACCACTTAGCCAAACGATGTCAAAACAGTTTGGCTAAGTGGTCTTAAAGTGATTCTTAAATCTGTTTTTTTGTTGTTGTTGTTTGTTTGTTTTTAATATAGTGTTTACATGTAATAATAAGGCTACATTCTAAGATTTTTAAACTAGAAAAAAATGTTACATTTTAAATAAGCAATGGAATAGGATTTATAACATAATATATGCAAAAATTTTTGAAACAGAAATAAGAAAAATATGATTATGCCTTATTCTTTGGTGTAAGTCTAGTATCCTGTTTGCAGTCTGAATGCAAATAGAGAAATTACTCATGAAGCTATTTTAATATTCAGGGAGAACCAATTCTCCTGTAATCCCCCAAAAACCTTTAGAATAGTTCAGTCAAAGAGATGCTGTAGTTTAAGACTGGGCAAAAAATGAGAACTGGCTAAATATTTAGAAGCTCACTTTAAACACTTCCATACCTTCAATAGGCCTGGGCACAAAGTGAGATGAGGGCTTAGTTTTCTTGACCCGATTGCCTTTCATGACTTGTCCCTCCTTCGTCAGGCCGAGGAACCATGCCCTTCCCGACTCTTGCTGCCGGTACACAGTGGACGAGTAGATCACATAGTAGTTTTCAAAAACTGACTCCTTAAATCTGCACTCTGGTGTGAACACTTCCTGCAGAATAAAAATGAATCACAAGCAAGGATGCAAAGATCAGCAATAGAATAGGGATAAAATAATTGTACATCAGACACACACACACACACACCCACCCACACATACCCACACATGCACACACACACACACACACACACACACACACACGCACACACACAGGCATGCGCACACTTCGGAGATATATACAGAATTATGCTATTATTGGAGTGTTAGAAATAAGAAGATTTTTATCTGGCGATTTTATTTCTCAGCCACAAGTCAAGGGGAAAGAGAAAAGGGCAAAATAATGAGAGGCAACGGCAAAAATAGAAAGGATCTGATACTGGAGAAAGTGTCTGAGCGGAGCAGAACAACAGAGCAGAACACTAGATCACAATCATGATAGTGAAAGAGTGAAAGAAACAATACACTTGACCATCAATGGTACAAGATACTGTAAACTGGGTCATTTATAAAAATGTAATTAGGTTAATGGTACCATTTCATTTAAAGTTTGCATCTAAAACGAATCCAAAACAGAATCTATATTTACTGGGATAAGTGTTCTGATTAATGAATGCTGATGAAGTGGATCTTAAGTAATCCACTAATAGGGATGTCCCTGCTCGTCCATCCCTATTAGTGCCTTCGGAACAAGTGAACGGGGCTTAATCATAAACCAACTCCAATCGGTTTTAAAAGAGGAGAAATGTGTTTGTCCATTATAGGGCGGCTGATGCACATCAGCTAGTTTAAAGGATGTTGGACAGTCTGAGTTTTGGCAGACTTTGCGCTCTGTGTGAGTGTGTGAGAGTGTGTTTAGCCGTGGGCTGTATTTTATTTATTAATATATCCTTCAGGGCTGTGTGCCCTTTCACGGTTGTCTGTTTGACTGACAGCCCAATTCTGCTTCCTGCTGGAGGTGACTGTGCATCTGTGATCCAACTCTGGCTGGGGGAGATAAATCTGTTTACTGTCATATTATTGGGTCCAAATACAAGCCTGCACCTTTTATTCTCAAATTTAGACCAAGTTGCCCTCAAAGAGATATAAATTATTATCACTATATTTTTTTTTTCAAAAATTTAAAAAACACAACCTAGGTTACAAATTCTAATTATGTCCCCTATTCTCCTCAGAAAGCCCAATCAACACATAAACCTCAGTTGATCGGATTAGCATTCTGTAAGATTATTCTGAACTAACATGGCAAACTGGCTTGATACGGTAAGTGTGTTGCTCCACATTAACTTTCATTTACATCCAGTTTCATACTATGTTGTGCACAGTTCCTTAACCAGAGCTCAGATTGGATTTTTTAATGCAATAAACCAACACAGAGCAGAACACGATTATGAAATGAGAAGGAAATAATAAATAGTTTTCACAGTTTGTAAATAAAAATCTTAAAATTGTTACATTCATTTATGTTTACCCTCCTGTATTATGTTTTTGTGCAACATTTGCTGCAATTAGAGCTGCAGGGTTTTTTCTGTGTCTGCCAGCTTTTTTGTATTTACCCATTTTTCTAGTTCAGTCAGATTGGAGGACAGCGTTTGTGAACACAGCATTCCCCAACAAATTCTTAGTTGCCACCCACATCAGGTGTACCAATATTGACCTTTATGCATGTAACTCCATTGAGCTCATCATCTTCAAGTTTCTCTTCTCAAGCAATGGGTTTGTGAAATGCATACAATTTGCTTAATGTCCAAACATTCCTACTTGAACTATAGATATCTACACATATGTTTTTAATGTTAACTTATTTTATTCAAGGTAATGTTTGGAACATGAACATGACGTGAAAATATTCAAGTGGTACAAATGCTTTTGCAAGGCACTGCACTAAGAGGTGCAGAGCAAAAATGATAACCAAAGAGTTATGTGCAAATTGGCTCGCCTGTACCAAATAGTTCAAATAGCAGCAGAAGTATAAGGTTACAGCTGAAACTGCCAAATAGGTGATAAATGAATCCAGCCAGAGACAAGTAATTAGAAAACAAAGGTTGTATTTTTTTATGCAATCTCAATTTCTGCTCAGTCACACTGTAGTAAGTTCAAAATAAACCTCAGTCATCAGATTATATCTACGAGTCTTATTTTTCAATGCGCAATGTTTTTAAAAATGAGCCAGTGTGGTCTCGTTAGTGACAAACAGCAAAGGTGAAGCTCTCAGTCACATGGTTGCAAGTGAGAAAATGTCTCACCAGTCAGCAGGAGAGAGGACAAGCTCTGCAAAGACCTGGTGGTTCAGTTAATCTGGACCTGCTGCGAAATGTCGGCTGTCAACCAGCCGACATTTCGCACACCGGTGGAGCTTCAGGGGTCACATTGCGCCTGTCTGATGACACAAGTTGGAGCGTGAACATATGTGTAGAGGTTTGGCAGTGATGCATTACATGGCAGCAAGCTGTTGTTTCTTCTTCAGCACACACACACTCATAATTAGTACCACTGTAACCTTCATGATCAATCATTTGGCTTCGCAGACAAGCTTCAAAATCACCAATAAAATGTGTCCACAAGGACAACCATGATGACAGAGATAGATAGATAGACGTATTTACTCCTGGACTTAGATTGAGAATAACTAAATCAAAATATGAAGTAAAGACTCAGGCCAAGATTGACAAGAAAAAGCTTCAAAAGTATCTTCAGATAAAGGTATAGAAGGGAAGGTGACCACCTCCCTTTTAATATGGCACTAAACCCTTGTTATCTGTGAGGGATTTAGCCCCTCTGACAATCCCAGACCTCACATTGAACTCCTGGGAATTTTATTATTATCCTTGGCAAGATTCAGTTCAGGTTTGTGAAGACATCGCTTCAAACAATAGAAACTTTATAGTTCACTTATATCCTTCACCAACACCTTTCAGGTCCATACTTTAATCTTTTGTCAATTGTGTTGTACGTTTAAAAGTGTTTCCTTGAAAGAGCAAGACAGGCTACGGCTACGAACCAGTCACAAAAAAAAATAAAGTAAACAGAAGGCTAGAGCGATAGTTAGAAATACACACTTTAAACCAGGCATTTGGGTTCAATGACTTGATTTGGTGTAGGGGACAAAAGATTGTGACTTCTGTAGCTTTTCCAATTGCATTCGTTTTGAAGACAAAACTATTAAACAGTACAGGTTATAAATCACAGCTGCAGTCAAAACAACAAGCACAAACATCTGCCAGACATTTTTATTCTACAAACAGAAGAAGGAAAAAGTGACAAGCCACGGAAAAATACTGATTACCATCTGTCACTCATGATACATTCCCTTAATTTCCTCGCTTAGTTCTGACATTATCAGTTTTACTATGATTTTTTTATTGAAATGTATTAGTTTATGTCTAGATAGATAGATAGATAGATAGATAGATAGATAGATAGATAGATAGATAGATAGATAGATAGATAGATAGATAGATAGATAGATAGATAGATAGATAGATAGATAGATAGATAGATAGATAGATAGATAGATAGATAGATAGATAGATAGATAGATAGATAGATAGATAGATAGATAGATAGATAGATAGATAGATAGATAGATAGATAGATAGATAGATAGATAGATAGATAGATAGATAGATAGATAGATAGATAGATAGATAGATAGATAGATAGATAGATAGATAGATAGATAGATAGATAGATAGATAGATAGATAGATAGATAGATAGATAGATAGATAGATAGATAGATAGATAGATAGATAGATAGATAGATAGATAGATAGATAGATAGATAGATAGATAGATAGATAGATAGATAGATAGATAGATAGATAGATAGATAGATAGATAGATAGATAGATAGATAGATAGATAGATAGATAGATAGATAGATAGATAGATAGAGGGAAACTGAGATGGAACAGTGGTTACTGCTGTGCAGTAAAGTAGGTCAAATTGTGTGTTATAAATAATGGAAGCAAACACTTTATTGTAGATGCTCAGCCCCCACGCACTTCATTGCTAAACACTCCACATAAGCATTCTCACCCAACTCAATGAGCAACAGCCCCGACATCGAGCTCTAAACTCCAAATACAGAGAAGTAAGCCACCCACTAGTATCACTGTGTGCAGCCCATTTTACTGATCAACACCAATCACCAACTGAACTTTAAGAATCAACCACATACATAACACCTAAAAGGACTACAATGTTGCTTGCAGTTGCAACTTAACAGCAAGCATGTAAGCAATATGGGCCTTTCACATTCTCTCAATAGGAACAAACTGCAAAGCCAAATTAAAAGGCAGGAGTGTGGGGAAGGGAAGATTTCTCTTTATAATTATTTCCCTGAGGCAGGAGAGAGTGAGAACATATATTTATATAAAAATTCGCTCCTCACCCACCGCGGGTGGTTCTTATCCTCTGAGCTCGGGTCCTCTACCAGAAGCCTGGGAGCTTGGGGGTCCTGCGCAGTATCTTGGTTGTGCCAAGGACTGCACATTTCTGGACTGATGTTATGCTTGGGATCTGTTGCAGCCATTGCTCCAGTTTGGGGGTGACTGCACCAAAGGTAAGTGAGCCAACTATCAGAGCTCCACAAGGATGCAATGAAAAGACCAATACCCAGAAAGTACAGGCAGATGCCCATACCTGAAGCACTCGAAACTGCTAAACAGAGGCTCCAAGCCTTGGCCAGCCGCCTAAAGAGATACACAAGGGAGAATAAAGCCAGAAGGATTAACCGGCTCTTCTCCACTCAACCAGCTAAGGTGTACTCTCAATGGCAGAGAAATAACAACAGAGCAGACCCACCAAGGCTGGAGACTGAACAAGAAGTAAACATTATAAGTGGGAAATTATGATAGGTAAATTAAAGTGAATGGTGCTCATAACATGTGAACATGGAGCAGAAAAGCTCCTCTTTACTGTAGTTTTTAAGGCTTTCGGTAGTCGTTCCAAGTAACACGTTGAAATATTTCATGGTTGATAAACTTAGAAACAGGCAGCTTTTTACTTTAGCCTTGCATTTTAATTTAGCTTGTTTATGAGTATCCTGTGTCAGTATATGTTTTAAAAAACCCTAAATGATCCAACCTAACTCCCACATATGCATATTCAAGCATATTTTCCCCTGCTTTGCATTTTTCAGCACCGCTCTGCATGTGTTTGGCCAGAAAGTGGATCACATTGAACTGTCACTGCAGAAATGCCCTTCTTTTTCAAAGGTCAAAAGTTTGCTCCTCTGCATAAAATATTATCAGTCAGAATGTTTTTCTGAAAGCTGCTGTTTGACAGTATGGCCCTTATCTGCTTCTAATTTATAATAACGGCATGACTGATGTGAAAAATGATTTCATGAAGCAATGAACTGTTGGGGGTCATACAGCATCTCTTAGAATCAATTTTAGAAATGAAAAATTTCTCCATCTAGTTGTGATTAAACTTTCATTAGGCTTCTATGGGTGGGTGTTAGGGTATCGTTGTCGACATTATATTGAGGCTCTGAATTGTGGGTTTTGTTTATGAGCTTGTAGTTTTAAATGAGCTCATCCACCTGGGTGAGTCTTTATGGCACTGGCTGAACGACCGTCTGTGCTTGCAACTGGCTCATCCACCTGTCATGTTGTGCTGGAGTTGTGAAAGTCGAGAATTTTTGCTGTGAGTAAATTACCATATATTTATGAGACTTTGCAGTTTGAAAGATTTAAACGAAACATGCTCTAATTCTTTCACTTACTTTTGACTTTGGGTCTCAATAAAGCTTTTCTTGGTCAATAAATTCAGGGAGGCAACAAAATAGCAAAGAGATTTACTGTGTCCTTCAATTATTTATGAGTGGAAAAGGTTTGTGAATTCTGACTCTTCATTCTTCATGGCTGAAAGGCATTCAGAAAACCATGACCAAGCTCCTCGGCTGAGGTCTTCAAGCAAGACAGCCTTCTTCCTCTTTGCTATTCAGAAATGCTTCCTTTATTTGGATGAAAAAAACATGTTACAAGTTTCATTTAGGAGAGCTGTGATTTTTTTCTCTATCCTTATAGCGCTCTGTTTGCAGACAGTTTATTCTTCCTCTTATTCTACGATCAGATCTACTCCCACTTGTTCTTATGCTATCCACACTGTTCCATATGGGCTTTTTGTATATTAAGCTACAATTTCAAATTTCACCTAATAATATAGTACCTAACTTGGCATGGCCAGTTAGAAAGATGCCAGAGAAAGCAAAGAATGCATGCTTCTGCCACTGTTTTAAGCTTGACTATCGGGCGTTCCTCACTTTAAACTTAACGATGCAAGCTGAGGCCTCATGCCAAAACCATTAAAACTACCAGACTAAATGAAGATTTTTTTTTCTTTGCACACAGATTCTGTCATTGCTTTGTCACTGTGAAGGCGCCAGCAGAGACAAGAACAAGACTAAAGCTGCAGCTTAATGAATTTTGACACGTCTAACTTTTCTTTTGAAGAATGTCAAGTCGCAGAAACAATAGTACAGATAACTTCTTTTATTTTACATAAATGATGATTTTAGCTAAAAGGATTAAACAGAAATGTTTTTATTTTGTGTAGCCTAAATTTGACAATGCAGTCTTGTGGACTCTTTTATTTTTTGATGACAATTTGCCTCTAATTCCTTTCTAATGATGACAGCATTACAATCTGCCAACTAGTGCAGCTGTTCCAGGAAAATTGTCATAATAAAGCAAAGTTTATGTACGCAAAAAGAAAGATAAATATTAAACAGATATAAATATGAAGGCACGGTTGCAAAGGCAATAACATAATCATGATGAAATGTGGTGAAAGATTTTATGACTGCTATATATTTTAAAACTGTATTTCAGGGAACATAATTGAAAGAAAAACGAGAGTTAGGTGAACTATGGATTTCACAGGAACATTAATTAAATAATCTTAACCTGACTCGTCTGAATTTAGACTAGTTAGCCACAAATCATGGAAAGGAGGATATTTGGCACCCCAGATAATCTAAAGCTGCTAAAATTAAAGAACAATAATTTTTATAATGTTAAAAATATAATTAAGTTGTATGTACAGACATAAAGCTCCAGTGATTTTCATGTCTTGGGATTTTTCTACCAATAAAATAAATCTATTCAAATTTAAGGTTGGATTCCTCTCTATTCTCAGTGTAATATTATTTCACTGTAGTAAAATATAAATTTTACACATAATTTCCAGGGGGCATCAATAAATACGGATGACACCGTGTTTAATAATGATTGTGCAGTGTAAGAGAAATTTTGAATAGAAATGAAAGTTGAGCAATTCAATAAAAAATTGTGTTTATAGCTGCCAGTTTAGACTTTTAATAGCAGCCAGTGCAAGAGACGAGAATCCCTTGTAGAAAAGAAGCTCAAAACTCAGCAGTAAATTAAATGCAAAACATGTGCTGTACTTCTTCAAAGACAGTGGGGGAGTAGGTGTTGCAGAGCAACACAGAACCACATCTGAGAGGAGCCACTGAACTGAGCAGAGATAAAAGGCTTCGAATAAGCTCAGTATTTACAGCAATGGCATATTAAAACAGACAACGACCAGAACAATATAAAACATGTGTAAGTGAATGATTACGCGTGACAGAGACAGAGAAATTTGCACAATCCAACAGCCCAACTGGAGCTTACCGAGCTGTAGAGCATGCCCTCGCCATTCATGGCGATGTAGAAGCCGCTCTTCACCCCTTGGATGGCCACCACTCTCAGACCCACGGGAATAAGATTAAACAGGGCTGCAGAGCGGAGCAGATTGAAGCAGAGGCAGGGAGGCACAAAGAGGCAGAGACAAAGGAGACACGTCAAATACAAAAGGACAGAACAGAACAATTGAGTTTGAACTTAACTCTTGACTGTACAAGCCATGATCTGTGGTTTTTGGCTATCCGTCAGCAGTGGAGGGAACATGACACAGATAATAGGAACACCATCACACTTTGCGGTGAAGTGTTGGTGGTAAATCAGAAATCTGAAGGTATATGGTGACAGCTAATGATATATTCCATGCTACGGCATCTCCATCGCATGATATCTGGCTGGTTCATTTAAACACTAGAGAGAGGTTTAGATTTTAAGCGCAGTAGCCATCGCATACAAATTTAGTACAAATGTGTAACAATGTGTAAAGTAAATTATTTGTTCACTGCAGTGGCATAATTTCACTTAAGACATTTTAGAAAAATATGTCCTTTAATTTAATTCATTAAGTGACATCAAATGACCAGAGGTGGAAGACGCCTCTTGTTTTGCACCATCACAAACGTAAACAAGTAGAACTTACTAAGCTCTACTGACACTTCTGAAAGCTTAATAACACTGTGGTTATGTATGTAAATAAGTCTGCCTGTTGCTGAAGTTGTCGAGCGTCATTGTCCTACATTGTCATTGTCCTACAGCTTTCAAAGTTAGGCATCGAGTTTAGGCAATATAGACAGTAGGGGGCGATTCTGACTTGGCTTCCAAATTCAGAGCACTGTTTTAGACAAAACAAGGTGTTTTTAGACAAAACAAGGTGGAAGAAATCTTGATAATGTATAGTCTGAGAAATTGAAATAAATGGAGGCACCACATCACACGTGACTGTTTACGACATTGTGACAAATTGATTTAGAAAACAGGAATTTCTATCATTACTTTTTCATCCTCGTCATCATTTTCCTTCCTTTGGTTGATTGCTACTTGAGCTACACCGCACCATACTGCCGCCATGAATACCAGTGGCACTGCTCTATTTACATTGAAACAGGCATCCACAAGCTCTCTGATTAAATAGGCAGCAAATGAAGGCAAAAGATGGACAGAAAATTCTGTCCATATGCATCCTCATATTTAGCGTTGGGTATAAATGAGCCTTCGCTGGAACTGCATCTTAACTGAATGTGTCAGTTAAGACTGATAATGAGATTCACAGCAGCGATTCAACAAAGGAAGACCAACTGCTGTCTGGTCATACGTAGGCCTGTCACGATAACAGATTTTGCTGGGCGATTAATTGTCTCAAAAAATTATTGCAATAAATGATAATATTGTTTGAAGAACTTTATACACTGATTTAATGGAAATTACGTAATAATGCATGCGATTTCCTGCCAAAGAGAGATACATTTTACTTAACACTGGGACTGATACACAAAATAAATAAAACAACCAAAAACAAAAATAAAATAGATATTCTCAGTCTCCATTAACAATAAATGTACTTGAATAAAAACTAAACAACATAAAGCCAAAGTGGAAATAAAAACTGCATTCAACCAAAAGAGTGCAGATTATGAAGTCTGTATAGTATATATTGCCCTTCAGTAATCATTAGATTTAAATAGAGAACAATCCGACTGTCTGATGCAATAGTTCAAACTACAGGATTTTTTACCCCGAATGACAATCTTAGAACGTTATTCATTCTAAGATTGCCACTTGTGTGTTAGGGTAGATCGTCGTGGCCGCTCCAATCTAAATCAAGGATTTGCCCAGACTGAGAGCTTAACGCAGCCTGTTGAATGTGACCGGTAGCCAATCAGAAAGCGCGGATTCTCCTCCTGGTTTCTGAGGGGAAACACGGAGGGAATACCAAACAGCTGACACGGTGTAACCCGAAGTCCAGCAGATATCTGAAACAACATGAATGTTTATTCAACATTTCGTGCAAAGAAAATATAAATAACTAGGGAAGGAGTTGGAGCGAAATTACTACCAGAAAACCCGGTAAATGTTCAGCTGTTCTTCGTTAACGTGACCTAAATAGGTTATAATGATTTTCATTCAGTCAGGACTGATAGTAGCTACATGCATTGCAGGTAGATTGTAGTAAGGAATTGATTAATGCCTGGTTTCAAAATTAGTGAACTGGACTTATATTTTTGTGTTCGATCGAACCGTTACACCTAGGATTTCTGTCGGCTAATGTGTCTCTCAGATTTTGATAATGGGCCGACAATTGGCGACATAAGATCGTGCAGCGCTCACTGGGCATTACACTAAGAAATAAGAAAGGGAGGGTCAGTGGAGAGCACCGGAGTTGAGCCTTTTTTCATTTAGTGTCATCAACAGTAAGAGAAAAAGGCAGGAAGAAACTATATAGACGATAATTGAAATGAGGTCGATAGTTTTAATTTATCGATTAATTGATTTATTGTTTATCGCGACAATGACTTTGATCACAAATTAAAAGTTTGGTTTTCCTTTATTTCTCAGTGTGTGACATAATGCCCTTGCAATGTCAGACTAGCTTATTTTAACCATTTTTTCCCAACTTCACAACATGTTTCACCAACTTTGTCAGCATCTGTTTTATCTAATTAATGCAAGTAATTTTTCTTTTATCACTGTATAGGTTGGATTTCTATTAGGCTGTTCTGACTGAGGAGCTGGCACATAGTAAAAATATAGGTATTTTTTTAGTGGTCTATAGGAGCAGGATGTTGATAGTCATTCTTTGCTTCTGTTTGTTCTCCTGACTAAGCCATGACTTTGACGGACATTGGCCTGGTGAAGGTGTGAGGCACTCTTTACCTACAGGGAACTCCATGCATAGCTGAAATGATTGCTCTGCAAGTGTCGATGGAGACTGTCAGATAAAACTGGCAGGGAAAAGCAGAGACATGCCAACACAGGTCAGTCCTCTGAGCTGATTCAATTTCACTCAATAAATATCGACATGCTGCTTTTGCCTGCCAATGGTTTAAACCTGCCCTCAGGCCACTGCAGACCGGCCATTCATAAAACCCTGTAAATGAGCAGAGCTCAACTTTCAATTTACTTTGTCGGGGTCAAGATTGTTCTTTTTATTTCCTCTCCTTATAATTTCCGTAACCATTAATTCCTCTCAAAACTGACAGAGCCTATAAATGGTGCCATTCACAACTTATCCTGGTTTGAAAACACATGAAAAATAGCACGCTACAGAACTATTGTACTTTAATTCTGGCCCATTGTTCTTGCACTAATTTGTCATCCAAAAACATTTATTGAATTTACAGGAGTCGGCAGTTTAAACGTCCGGCTTTTCTATTTTCAGCCACTGATTGATTTCATTATTACAGCAGCACTGACTCCTGTAAAGAGTATCTGATGTCTATCCTGAAGGTGATTCTTCTTCTTTAATACCCCCTCAGACAAAAGAGAGAGGTCTGAATGGCACGTGGAGCATTTAAGAGATTTCTCTGGATCTTCTTTTATCAAAAAAATAAACAGGAGATAAAGCAGGTTGAAACGCATCAGTAAAGTAAAAATCCTTGAAAACGGCAAATCTTCCTGTAGAAAGGTAATCTTCTTGAAGTAAATCCTGCAGTTAGGCTGAGAAAATTTTATTTAATGTGAAGACTGCCAGCATAGCAGGAATCACTCATGAAAGGTTTAAAAGGACATCCGGCCAAATGTGAAACATGAAAAGCATTTGCTCACACCCAAAAATAAACTCGATCTAGCTGCTAAATTGTTTATTTTGTAGTAGTCCTGTTGCACTTGTGGTTATTAGACTCTATTTAATTGGACCGAGGAAAACATTTTGGACTGTGATCAAAATAACAAAATTGGTTATTTTATTCAACCTCACTGAGGGAAATGTAAGGGTCGATATAACAATGTAAATTTAACACAATATAAATACCTATTGTATGTAGAAAGCTTTTTTCAATTTTAATCTGCACAAAAGCCCCAAGTTCTCATTAATATCCCAACCATTAATTCCAACATCAGTTTCCCCAAAGAGAAGTGCCGGAGACCACTAATAGGTGCTGAGCAAAATTTCCAGATGGAGCCCAATTTTCACCTAACAGAGGATGACCTCTTCTGTTCAGTTTACAAGTAACCTTGGTGACGCCTCGAAACTCTGACATATTAAAGTTCTGGTTGACCTAAAGTCTAAGTTAACCAAACTTAGATGTAAGCAGCAGAAATGGTGAAATTAACTTAGACATATGATGATTCTCATAATTTTCTTGTTTTGATGGTTTTTGTTGTTATGTATGCAATTGATGCACTTGTGAAACTGTGATTATGAATTTAGTTATGGTTACAGTGTTAATGATTCACAAAGTTTCCAATGCATAGGGCTTTCTTGACATCAATTTGAGTGTGTGGTATTTTCTAATTTACCTTAGTTGCTATTTTAGATTTAAATATTAAAATATTGTAAAATGCCAACATATACTATTGCAAATCTCACTTATGTTGGAAATGTGTTAAATCTCTTGATTGTTTTAAAGCTTGAGGAGGTGGGTCTGTTTGATGAGGTGCTCCCTCTTTAACAAGCTAGAAACATTCACAAGTATAAAACAGTCAAACGACTGGATACATTTATGTTTAATGACCACCAATACTGACCAAGGTTAAATTATTGGTCAAGGATTAATGGTAGGGAACTAACTTAAGGTTGGGCGACACATTATTTAGGGTTTTGATTTAAAGCTGAACTGAGACTTGATGTTAAAAGGCTGCTGGGTGTGTTATCTCAAGAAAAGGTTTATGGTACATGGGGAGTTAAAGACTAACACTGCAAGTATCTCATTATCAACAGGATCTTTCTAGAGTCTCAGAGTATGCAGATGATCAACTGATTAATCACTGTTCAAATTTAAAAAGGAAAGTTTGTTTAATTAATCATGTTTCATTTCAGCCATTTTGGTGGACAGTTTGCATGTACGTCAGACTTCCACTAAAACATGTAAATTTACTTCACTTACTCCAGAGTTCAAAACAAAGCAAAACACTATGAAATGAGTCACTTTTCATTATGTTTGTGCAGAGCTTCTGCTTCCAGAGTAGCCACCATGCAAGCAGCAGCAGCAATTAGCAAACACCGGGTGGAACTGCAGAGCTTATCATACAAACTATTTCTCAGTACAACCTTCCTAAGAACATTGCTAAACATGCGGCTTAAGGAAAGAGCATTGTTGATAACGTGCTAAAGGCGGAGTGTCCGAAAGAGTAGGAGCTTCTTAAAGAGACAGAGACCCAATTTCAAATTGTCAAATTTTGTAATTAAATTACTTGCAATGAATTTGATTGTGGGATATCAGAGTAAACATGAATGTTGTACCAATTATTTTCCACTTCACATCTATGAGCAACTTTGTGTGGCTCCATCACATAAAAGCCCAATAAAAACCAATTAAAAACATAGTTTGTGACTTTAATAGAAAAACAAAAAAAAAAACTTCCAGTTGATACATTAAAAATACTTTTTGTGGGGCAAATTGGTGTAATGGCTTAACAGTTAACATAATTCTGGTGGCTACAAATAAACAAATGCACAAAAAATAGGTTATGTATAATTGGTATACAAAACTGCATTGAAAATAGCATCAATTTAAATTTACATGTCTACGTGACATGTACACTTGAAAAAACAAAATATATGTCCTCCATGCACCACCAGTCGCACTCAGTGTAAGTGAGTGAAATTGGTTGGGGGTTTATTTGTCACAACAAACGGTTTTGTGCTATTCTCAGCACAACCAATTGTTGCAGGAATACAACAAATAATCAAAAAGTAAATTGGGTTCAGTCTGAGCTCATGTTGTGCAAAGCATGCAGACAGCACGTGCTGCCTGGAAATAAATTACTGTATTCCATCTGCCAGGGCTGAGGATGAGGCAGGTCAGAAGGTGATGTGGTTCAAGGGTGGGGGTAATCTATTATTCTAATAATCCACCCCGGCAATCAATGGTTCACTGCAAAGAGCTGCATACTAAATATCGCTGCTCCGTTTTCATTATTTTTTGGCTGTGTTTTGCATTTATGTATTCTGCTGAAAACACTTTGGATTTGTCTTGCACAACCTATGACTCTCTGCTGCTCCTTCTGTGTCTTCCTTCGGACTGTGTACAAGCTCGAGGCATCTCAAATGAAGAATTATTCATTGGGCACAAATGGAGGTGGTATTTTTAGTTTGCTATAACTGAATTATTCACTGCATTCCTCCAGCCAGGGGCCAGTGGGACTGCTTAACTAAAGGATTACCACAAGGTGGGGAAACCCTCCACAATACAATAAAATCCTGCACTCTAGAACACAATAGACATTCCTAAAATATCAATAAAAAAGTGCTTCACTTGCACAGACAAAATGCAATATGTCAATTTTCATTCCCTTCTTATGCTGTAATCTACTTTGTCCTGAAAACCTTCATTTGTTGTAAATAGCTTTAACTCCACCAGCATCCTCATCGTAAAATATAAAGTGACATTTGATGGGGAGAGGGGAGAGGTTTTTTTTTTTTTTCCCACTACATGACTGCTGCTATCCCGCAGCTCTGTCTCCATCTTCCTTCAAGATTGGCAGGATGTTTTAGAGAAGAAAGGTCATGATTAGTTTCCTGACTGGCTTCCGTCCAGAGTGGTACTGTCATCATTATTGCTCTGATGACCGTTCTGTAGCATCCCTGTACCATCAGGGAATGTTTATTCCCCGATGCTACATGGGAAAGTCTATTCAAAGAAGCAACCAGCAGTTTAAGGTAGAAGCATAGATGATTTTTCCCCCTCTGTTTATTTATTTATTGCTATGGAAATAAATCTATTTATTTTTGCAAATATTTATTTGTGAGTTTATGAACTCAATGATCAATGAGTTACAATGATCCATTTTCTTACATGGATCATTGTAAAAATGCTTTTGCAAGACTTGGAAGAGGTGGCTCAAGGATGGGTCTTTGTGGCAAGAAATTCAAGGGAAAAGAAAAATGGTTTCCAAAATGTCATTTGACCATCTTAAATTATTTTCTTAGGCAACAACAGACGTAATACTAACACAGAACTATATTTATGTAAAATCAGAAGAAATATTGGGATTCATCTGAATCAGAATTTTGAAAAATTTCAATACTTTTACGCTGTGGAAAGCATAATGTTGTCAAGAGAAAGTGAGCGCTCTTAAACCATTGAATAACCATTTGACACATTTTCTTTCCCTGTGATTGCATAACCAGATGCAGGAATGAGGGCATGCTGCGCTGTGAAGACGACTGAACAATTCCCTTCAAAACTGCAAATTTCAGAGGAGAAACTTCATTTTAGGAAGGCCCTAAACTAATTTTGGAGCACGTTAAGCTGCCCCCCTTGTACCAGTTGCATAAGAATGATGGTTAAGTGTATATATTGTGTCAAAATGTTATGTAACCAGCTGACTCAGAAACCGGTAAAACATTTGGAAGCAGCAGCCTCTGTAATGCTCCACTCACTGTTGTCGCTGTTCTCGTCCTTGCTGCCGTCGATGGTCCCATCCGGCTGCATCTGCAGGTAGAAGCCCTGCTGGCTAAACAGTCGCGTCACGATGCCTTTCAGCTGTGGCTCTGAAATGCACAAATTCACGCACGCACACGGGCAACACACACCACACGCATACACAACCACCAGAGGCAGAGCCACGGCAGCATCCCCAACAAGAACATGTCAAAACAAGAGTCGCATGATAATGGAAAGCATATTACTTACAGCACTTTCACACACAAACAATAATTCTGAGCTACTTCAGATACCAAAATCACCACAAACAAATCACGGAGGAAAATAGCAGTATCATTATCTACAACAGAGTGCACAAGCTGTGGAAGACGGAGTGTTCAGATAATAGTGATTAAATTACATTTAATATATTAACAGTTTGTTTGTTTTTTTTCTCTAGACAGCTCACGCACTATTACTGGGATCCCTGGTGAAGATGTAGCCTTAAAACATGTTGTCTATGAGACTTGCTGATCCCAAGATGTCATACTCAAACAGTAAATGTTTTTAGACTTCCTGACCACGACACTCAATGAGCATGGCCACAAAATAAACCTGCAGATTGGGCCAGCTTTGTATATTATGGATTAAAATGTTTAAATGTCACTCTGCGTAACTTTTTCCACTTTTTTTTATTTAAAGCATAAAGTACAAATAATATTGAGTTGTGTTGATTTTATTTTATTTCCCAGATTAAATAAATGGGCCTAGGTTAAAGGTTTGGTTTTACTTTCTTTCAGTGTGGAATAATATCAAAGATGCATTTCATTATTTCAAGGCTTTTCTGCACCAGGAGTTGAAGTATTTTATTGTTTAACCTTTGAAAACAAATGCAAACTTTTTTTTTCTGTGAATATATTTTATAAAAATCATATTCAGTTTTTTAAAAAGACAGAGAAAGACAGGTGATCACTCCAGAATCAATCTCACCTTGACCGAATAAATTACTTAACCTCACAATCCAACCTCCACAGCTTTCACAATTTAAAAATAACTAACAGCACTAAACATTTCAGCACATACATTTCAGTCTTACCAGCTGATGAAAGGTTTATGTCATCTGCCGCATCACTTTATGAAAATATAAATGGTTGCACAACTGGTACACTTTAGCAGTAGAAGAAAAATCAATAAAAATGCACTTATTTTTCTGTAACTTATTGCAGCTATTGCAGGAAAATGGATATTTTCGACCAGGAAGAGGTGTTTTCAAAATTAAATCTCGAGTAACTGTGGTTATTGAGTGAATGTCACTGATATCTAAACTTAATCCTCTAATTTCATAGGTAGATTGTTTGAAGTGAATGGACACACTGGTATTTCTTGATGTTATAAAAGCTGTTGCAGCATCTTTTTTAACATTGCAATAACCCCAAAACGACCTCTATCTTTGAGATGTAGGACTTCCGGCAAGTTGTCAGATTGCTACTCCGAGTTCTTTACACAGGTGAGCAGGTGGAAACGAAAATTAGCTCAGGGCAACCAAAGTGTCAAGGCCCTATAGCAATGCCAGAAAAAAAACACAGTATAGGTGTAGAAAACGATGTTTATCCCAGAGATTCCAGCGTGCAGTCTGTCCCCTGTTAGAAAAGCTTTTGATTTTTGTGTAAACGTAAAACACCACCATTGGGTGGAGGTTTTAGCTCTTCACAGGACTGTGGCGGAAAACTATGTAGATTTTGTTGTTTTTAAAACTACTTGTCTGGTGATTTTTTGACTTGGTTTTAAGTAACAATATCCTTAAAAAATGGACAGTGATTACATACTTTTCTTATGAACATTACTCATTTTCATTAATGTTATTAGCACTTTCAAATGTCTTTAGCATCATATGTTTGTGATTAGTAAGGACCACCATCAAACTGCTCTTCCACAAAATGGTTTTCACTGGCAGGGAAGATTGGACAACTTTTTTATGAGCACAACATAGACACTGAACTCTGCAGCTCTACCAACCATTGAATTTTTCTTCTTGATATTTCAAATCGAAATGTCAGGTTTTTTTTAATGTTCAGACATTACCCACATTTTGTTTTTGTCCTCCTGTTGCATCAGTTCCTGCATCTGTATCGAATGGAGGTGATCTGCCAGTGGTTCCGCTGATGGGTAATAGAAGCGTAGGTTGCTTTATTAGCAGCCATATTGTTGAAAAATAATTGGCTTAGTGTCTCTCATTCTTGACAATACCCATAGATATTTTGCGAGGTTCAAGTAAGGGTGACTTTGCAGGCAAATAAAGCACAGAAGCAGTATTGTCACTGAAACAAACATATTCTTGCTGGAAAATGAAATCGGTGTCTCTATGAAACGTCTCCATAAAGCAAGCATGCAGTGCTCTAAAATTTCCTGGGAGACGGCAGCGTTTACTGTAGACGTCAAAACTATTGGTGACATGGCACATTAAATCATCACTGACTGGAAACCTGACTGGACTTCAAGCAAGATGGATTCTGATTAATTAAGCACTTTTTAATGATAAATAATATTGAGCATCTTTTCACATTAATGTCATTTTTTCCAGTATCCAGATAAAAACTGTATTAATTTGAGTGCTAGAACAATATTTAAGCATACGACTGTTATCTTACAAATTATACATTTGTATTTCCCACTAGAGTTTAGTGGGCCACACAAAATGTCATGGTGGGCCATGACTTCAGTTGGACATGTTATTTAGAGGCTGAATCTTTGCTTTTTGAGTAAATTAGGTGATTGGGGTGTGACACTATAAATTTACAATATTTAAATTTTCACAATACTCTAATTTTTTAAGACACTGAATTTTGGCATATTTCATTGTCTGTAATCCACTATCATCCAAATACATGCTATGAATGTAACTGTAATGTTTTAGTCCCTGTGTAATAAATTTATGTAATATATATGCTGAACTTTCTAAAATAAGTGACAAAAAATGTACTTTATCTTATTGAACATTGAAACTTTTTTTGATGTACCTGAAAAAGTGATGGGTTAGGATTGAACCACGGAGTGCTTTAATCAAGATCTTTTTATTTTTTTATTTCTGACTGGTCTGTTACTGGTCAGAGCCGACAGTTAAAAATCACCTGACTTCAGTTACTGATATTTATTTAAGGGTTGCTGAAAAGTGTGACGAGGAATCATACCTCACGCTCAAATGTAATGTCGTAAAGTCCCTTAATGTTTGACGTATGTGTGTATTTGCTCTAGAAAATGAAGAATACAGTACAAATTACCCAGACTGTCCTCCAAGGTCACAAGAGTTGGAGGACATGCAATTAATTTCATCTGGTTAGACACAAAGTATCCTAAATGATTTAGCAAAAAGGAACATTCAGAGACTTGCTTTCTTGAGAAAGAAAGATGGTTTCAGCCCGATCCTAATTCAACAGCAATAACAGATGGGATCTGCTCCAAAGCTGATTGCTCCAATAATTACAAGTGTGTGAGATTTATTCACATTGTAAAAAAAAGAGGCACAAGCGAATGGAAAGGGGGAGCAAGCCGAAAGAGTTAGCCAAGTTGTGACCCAGAGCGAGAGAGAGTTCACGTCTGCTCAACTGTACATCATCCCTGACCATCAATTCCCAACTCACCTACCCCTGGGTTAGTGCCATCAATTCCTAGGACAGGCCCTTCATCATCCGTCACGGGCAGATTGAGGAGAATGAGAGTGTGTGTGTTTATGCGTGTGTGAAAGCACATGGGAGTGTACACATCAGTAAATCACATGTGATAACTACGCTTCCATAAATTACGGCAACAGTGCAGCCCAGAGCAATGGCTGACAGCTCATCAGTTCCAGTCATTTAGCAGAGAGCGAGTGTACTGTACACATGTGTATTAGTGTGTGTGAAGGTGTAAACAGATTCCTGCAGCTTGCGTTTGTGCATGAAAAATGACTTTCAATGACAACAAAAACTTGAGATCATTGTATGAGTGTACGGACCATTAGAACGACAATAGATTTACTTCATATCAGTACAGAAAGACAAAAACATTTAGGTACACTGACAAATGGCATCATGACCATGGGATGGTGAATGATCACCTGCTCTGACATCGTATTCCACAAGAAAGAAACACATCATAGTAATGTACACCAATATACACACAATATCAACCTGTACTCCACTTACACAGTTGTAAGCAACACAAATTTACAGACACACAACGAGGGACGAGAATAAAAACGGAGTCAACACTGATTGGCGGAGAAAATGAGATTGGAAATGAAAAGAGGCAGAAAGAGAAAGAGCAACAGACGACCTGCTGAAGGATAACTAGAGCTCGGTGCAGGTGTGGGGGAAAAAAGTACAAAATTAAGCTTTTTTTTAAGAAAATAGCCACACAGAGGGGGAAATGAAGAAAAAGAAGATAAAGAAGGCGAAAATCAGCGAGGGAGTGGGTCGTCGGCTGTCAGACAGGTGTTGAGGCCCCCAGCCCTCCATTCCCCATTTGTTTCTTCTCACAAACACCCAACCCCTAACCACCCACCACCCCTCCCTGGCCGAGGAGGTTGTCGACATGGGCGCGAGATGGAGTGGAGACGAGGAAAACACAGCAAACACGGATGGAGGCTGAGCTACTGACCTAGCCTGCAGCCCTTATGGGACACCTGTGGAGGTTTCAAGGGTGCATCTTACGAAGGGGGGGAGGGGGAATAAGAGGAAAAACAACAGTCTTTTAAACAGGCAGCATTCATCAGTTCTCCAGTGCATCTGCTATTTATGGCAATGCATCAGTGCAAATGTAAGGATAATCAAACATAAGACACACAGCATCTTTGCCTTTCCTGCCTCCCTAATGAGATCTGAGGAATTACCTATCAACCAAATAATACTGAGAAGCTTGACTAATTTGCTCTATATGTAGTTACTAAGATTTAGGAAATTTGTGGCTCCATAGGCACAGATATTGTTTGCTGAGGCTCCCTGGACGACATCATATTAGTCTGTCTAGCATTAAGTGGAGGAAGACGGGTTGACTGCATCTGTTGTCCTCTCATTCTGCCTTAAAAATTGATGTCTGTCCGCCTCATCCCTCATCAGTCTGTCTGTGGGACTCTGAGTGGACCAGGCTGTCGTTCGGCTGTCGTTCGTCACACAACAGAACTATCTGGATGAACGGGGATGTGGGGGGAGCGGGGGGGTCTAGGGTACAGGAGGGAATGGGAAGAGGAGGTGGCGGTGACTTGCAAGACTAGGCTGTTATCTGTGCACCATGCAGGGTAGAACCAGAGGAATCAGACAGGGAGAAGGCTGGACCTCGAAGTTTGGTGGGGGAACAGAGGCAACGAGTACATCGATACAGCTCTCGGAGGAAGAGGGCTATTCCTCCCTTCGCTGCAGTAAAGCTCCCTGTCTGCAATAAACATTTACCATTAAAAACATTTAATCTCAAAAGAGCCTTGGTGCACTGCGGTGCAGCTTATCTTCCCTCTGTTCCCTCAATCTGCATTAATATTGAATTAGGTCATTTAAAGCAGCTTCCCCCCCCCCCCCCCCTGTATATTCAATTTGCCTTTGTATTTGGGTTTGGAATGGGGGGCGAGGGTGGGGTACAAGAGAGTGGGTGGGAGCCTATTAGTCTATATGTGTGAGAGGACAAAACCTTCTCAGGTTTTATTTGAAATCTATTGTGTTTGAAAGCAATTTTATTTCAAGGTAACTAATTATTCTTAATGGAGTTCAGTGAATAACTAGAGGAATAACGTCACGGGAGCCAATGTTTGCTTTACATTCAGACAGCTCCTCTGCTTCATGTACAGGACAGACAGATAACAAGAGGACCTGCGGTAAAGAAACAGGTGGATTTTTCTTACGAAAAATCAACCGTCTCAGATTAAAGCCCCTGACTGCAGTATAATGTTTCTCCTACTCAAAGAGGGGCGGGTTGCGCAGGGGGTCTGGATGGGTAGAGGGTAGGGGGGTGTCTCCCTACACACACAACACGCATCTGTAATAAAAAGAAAATAAAAAAATAAATAAATACATAAATTGTCCCCACTGACCTGGTCGCCGCCGAACGGGTCTTTTCTTGCCGCTACAGAAACGGACTTTGCTGAAGACCCCCAAGAAATGCCTCTCGCAGAGAGAGCGGGGGTCTTTGCTGGGGCTGGGGCGACGTTTCGAAGTGGAGACGCGGTCGCTGTTGGATTCCCTCGCCTGGCGTTTCTGCCGGATCAGGGAGCTGGCGATAGCAGCCATCTGCCCGAACCCGCTCAGCAAAGAAAGAGTCTATAGTCGCCGCCGGCAGAGGTCGGGTCTGGATGCGCTTCCCCTTCGCGTGGAAGGCGACGCGAGCCCACGGGACAGAATATAGAACGTCGCTTCTGGGTCTCGGTCCGCCGAGAGTTTTTCTTTTTTTTTTTTTTTTTAACTAAATGTCATCCTGCTCAGAGAATCCTGTGAGTCCCGCGCATCGTTTGCTTGCATGCCATGCACCGTCTTTGAGGAGACATTGCATGTAACTGTTCTGAGTTTCGGTCGCACCCGAGGGGGTGGGGGGCGTGAAATCAGCACTTACCGATCCAGGGGTATAAACCTACGGGCAGGACCGCCGGGGGCCGGAATACGAGGCGTGAAAACATGCAACAGTGTTCGGAGGTCGGTGTAGCTGCGTTGTCATCGGAGAGCCTCAGGTATTCCAGGTGAACGGCGCCGCGTCAAAAACGAGCACGAATCCTCCTCTGCACAGCAGGTCCGTCCTGAGGATCCCTGCCGCTTCTTTAATTATGCGTGTCCACCTAAAGCCAAGTAATGCGCGCCTCTGCGTGCGAAAAATAAAAAGAGAAACAAGGTTGTCCGAAGTTCCCTTGGTCGTTGCTTCACATCGTCTCCTCCGCGCACATTGAACAGCGAGACCGTCCGCCGCCGGTTCAGACAGGAGCCCATATGAGCCCAGTTCTCTGTTCCCGTCGACGGTACCTCTAAACGCAGTCTGGGGAAAAAAAATGGAATCGGCAGCAGAGGCTTTACTCTGCAAGGATGCTGCAGCGCTGGAAATGAAGCCAGCGGGGAGCGATTTGTGTCTGAGGAGCAACAATTAGTTGAAACAAAAGTGCTTTTTGTTGTAGCGCACAAATAATAAAGGAGGGTTTTTTTTCTCTCTTCCAAACGCAGTCGGTGAGTTACATCGTCGACGAGGGCTGATGGTCCACAGTCTCCCCCTTTTCTGCCTCTCTCTCTCTCTCTCTCTCTCTCTCTCTCTCTCTCTCTCTCTCTCTCTCTCTTTCCTCTCCCTCGCTAACTCTTTTAACGCAATCATACGTGATTGAGGTTCGTATTAGGAATTCACAGGGATTGTTCAGGGATAGACTGATTATCTCTCGATGGCAATATAGAACTGAAAAGCAGATCAAGTAGAAAAAAAGAGAAGGGTTAAATGCTGTGTGCCTTTTGAGTTAGTATAGCTACAATTTGTGATGATGCCAGCTGCAAATCAGTTAACTAAGACTGACACAATTACATAACTGTTAGGACAGCAAATTGTGGGCTTTCACCTAGATCTTCACCCCAGATCTTATCATATATATACGTAACATACTAGTTTGGTTATACAACTCCATGCAACAGGTTTGGGCAAACAAAAGGCATGAATGGCCAACAATGCAAAGACTGAACACATGATTAAATAATAAATGACCTGAACGAAATGCATAAATCCAACGTACTGACATATTTAAAGATGAAAACGTTGCAAACTTCATCATGCACATTTAAACACCTCTTGGTTCAAGACCATGCCGCTCCTCATTTTTTCAGATATTCAACACAGTTCCTTTCAAAAGTATTCATACTCCATACAGACTTTCAAGTTTAAATCTACAAACATCAATATATTTTATTTGGATCTGATATGATTGGGGTAGTTGCAATATGGAAAACCATTGAAAAAATCAATACAAAAGCAGCAAAGGCTTGCTAAATGATGCCTACTTTAGGAGTGATTTACTCCAACCTACAGTTTATCTGCTAATCTAATATAACTATTTGAGGAGAAAAACTTCTGCAGACTTTGAGGATTATCTGTTTTTTATTCATCTCCTCCTCATTAATCTTCTCAATAAAGCAAAACCTGTCATGATCATTAGGCTCCGTTTGCTTTGAAACGTCAGACCTTTGTTTTAAGGTGTCTTCATCAAACATGTAAAAGCAGCATGTCTTATGCTGACAGCAGTTTATGGGATGAGTTCTAGCTCTCTATTGGACTCCCCATTGTCACATTTAATTCATTGCACTTGAATTCAAGATAGTCAATCCCACTTGAAATCTCCTGTTTAGCCTTAACTTTCCTCCACCAAATAGAGAGAAATACAATGAAAGTTAGAGAATTGGTCATTCGCGTTAGCTGGGGACGCCACAAAGAATTGTGTTCATGGCACCAAAATGGTCCTGGACCCACAAAACACCTGGACTGAGCTGCTCTCATCATCTGGGATGTTTAAATGTCCACCTGGAATTCCACCATGTCCTCTGAAGGGAAAGCTCTTGCAAAAACACAGACATGAGTGGGAAGACCCACATTCCCTGAACAGCTTCTGTGAGGATTAATAATATACACGTTTTTCAAATTGTGCCAGTGAGTGAATTTTGTGGCGCACGGTGGGCGGCCTGATATTAGACAGAATGGATCAGGAGAGAATCACAGTAGGCAAGTAAGAATGCAGAAAACTCAGCTTTCAGTGGTACAGTCCTTCATTCCTCAATCAACTACTGAGACAGATATGGTGCTGCATTATGTTATGATTGATTCAGTTTAATATTGTAATTTTAGAAGAACATTATGGATCACATCAGGCAAGAAAGCAATAAAGATGAGGAGTAGGGGTGGGTTATAAAACTATATTCCCATCTACAAACATCTTCGAGAGCTCTTCTTCAATCCAACATCCAAACATGAAAAAAGTATGGCACAATTGCAAACCACCAGATATGGCAGTCCATTTAAATTATCAGGCTGGGCAAAGAGAGCATTAATCAGAAAAACAGCCGATAGACTCAAAGTGACTCATGTGGAGCTGCAGAGGTCTAAAGCTCAGGTGCTGCGCTTCGCAAAAATACCATGTATGGAATAGTGGTTACAAGAAAGTCATTGTTAAAACAAACAAAGAAAACAATAAGTCCTACCCTAGTTGGGAAAAAAGTTCTATAGAACAGAATTGAAATATTTGTGTTCAAAATGTTTTGTGACCTTTTGGATTATGCAGTGAGGATTATTTATCAAGGCTTTGGAAGTTAGATGAAGCTAAATGTAGGCTGATTCTGAATGAAAATTGTCTATGGACTGCATAGATGAGAGACAGAGATGAACTTTCCAGTTCCATCTGACCGACACAGCTACAAAGGAAAAGTTTATAGCAAAGCATACTTTCAATAGAATGTGCAGGTTAAAGTATGGAATGAAATCCAATTCAGAATTTTGGCAATTCTTCCAAAGTGACCTTAGGGAATAATGCATGATTTTCTGCATGCGAACATTGTTAAGAAGCCTGCAAATGTGCTTCAAAATAAATTAGTATTCAAGATAGATTAAAAGCTAAAGTGACAAAGACCACTGTTTGTTTATGAACAAAATTGCATGACAAAAACACAAGAGGTCAGCAAACTTCCTGCATCCTTCTGATGAAACAGCATTAAACATTTAAAGGATTTCTCAGTGACTCTGCCTGACATTCTCTAGCCAAACCAAATCTGCTCCGACAGCAAGATCAAGAAAAAAATATTTTAGATTGATCTACATAGGATATGGATAAGAATATGGCTCTGGTTGGTCTTTTGGTTGATGTTTAATGTGAGTGTCAGATATAGACAAAGACTGACAAAGACGATGAAAAGATAAGCTCTTTCCATTCCATGACTAAAATAAATGGTCAAAATCTTTATTCAGAAACGAGCAATTAACTCAATAAGATTCAGAACAAATACTCATCATTAGGCATTGTATTATACCTAATGATAGGCATACCTCTCATCATTATGCCTGATGATGAGAGGTAGAAATTATTATGCCACTGCGGTATTCAGAAATATATCATCAGCATTAATTGTTGTATATCTTGCTGCTGAGTGCAACAGCATGATATTCAGTGTACAGACAGGCTGTGGTGTGAAGCACAAAGGGAACATCTCAGAAATGAGCGGGACCTTGTAGAACCTGAGTGCTACAGAAGTGGACATATATCTTTGTCAGAAAAAGATAAAGTATACCCTTTCAAGAATATGCTTCGCTTCCTCATTCCACTGCAGACAACTTGTGTTCACTTCCTGGAGAGATTTACACAACAGCAGTGAAACAGTTCTGCACACGATTAACACATAAGGAGACATATGTTTTTCATTGTTATACTTTTTGTTTGTTTGTGGGGGTTTTTTTAGATTTAAGCTTCTCTTTCATAAGTGTGACATACAATATTGTTTGGGTTTTGTTATTAACTAATAATTTAATCAGTCCAAATCTTCTCTGTGAACATATAGATGCTACACTGCAGCACCGAATGAAGTAAAACAAAGCTAAGCCTCAGCAAACCTGCCATTTAGAACCAAAATTGCTTGCTTCTGTCTGCTGCCATCTTGTGGTTAAAATAACGAACCACAGTGTGATAAGAGGAGAGAGAGAAAGAAAAAAGTCTACGTCCAGCTTTCAAGTTTCTCACTTCTGAGTGTCCTTGAAATACCTCGCAGATTTGTTGACTCACAACAGCCGGAGCAAAATTTCATAGCGTAATGTCTACTCAACTTTCTCGCTGAGTCTGTAGGAGGCTGAAGTGCCGAAATGTGAGAGAATGAAAGCAATCCCACCGCTCAGACTGCTTGTTCAACACACTTCTACTATCGACAAAAATCATCACATAAACGTGATAAGTTTGTGCCACTGTAAAGGCAAATCAAACATTTAAACTATTGTCTGGGCAATAAACAGTAAGGCACATCATTAAAATCAGCATTTGTCCTGTGTTTAAGTATCTGAGTATAAGCATGTTACTCAATTTAAAACTACATTAGGATTCACTAAAGCCTGGAAACCAACCATGTAGCTACCAATCAATTCAGTCAGAAACCACTCACAAACATTCCTATTTATTTTTCTATTTTGGTGTCCACCAGAAAACCTTCTCTTTCAGTTGGGACCTTCTCCATTTTAAAGTTTGAGGTGTTACCACCACAAAAGTCTACGTTTTTCATTGGGGTTTAATGCGAAAGACAGGCAAAAAACATCTTATAATTGAGCGACACACTCATCCCACTTTACTTTGATAACCCTAAATAAAACCCGGACTAAACAACTTCCTTCCTCCAGTAGGTAAAAAGAGTCCACTTCTTTGCAATTTAATCTCAGAGGTCTTATGAAAGAACATACCAGCCATATCAGGACTAAAGCTGTGCAGAAGTGTAGAGCAGGGTCAGGTTATAAAACTATATCTAAACCTTTGAGCATCTATCAGAGCGTTGTTCCATCTGACACTAAAAATGAAAAGAGCGCGATGAAACTAAAAGTCTACCAAGACCTGGTTGTCTGCATAAACTCAAGCAAAGAGGCTGATGATAAGATAAGAGGAGCTGCAGAAATTTGCATCCGAGTAGAGAGAATTTTTTTATCGAGGAAAATATTCCTAAATATTCCTTTTGTGAAAGGCTGATAAGAAAAAGGCATTTATAAAAGAAAGGGTTTATTTTTTTTTTTTTTTAAAAAAAGGAAGTTCAATTAGCAGCCTGGATTAGCTCCGGTCTTGTTTGATGAGAGCAAACTTGAACATTTTTTGGCCTGCACACAAAATTAATACTGTATATCATTGTAAACTCATCATCAACACTGGTAAACATGGTGGCAACTGTATCATGCAGTGGGGATGATTGACTTCAGCAGGAACAGAGTTAATAGGAAGATGAAAATACTGTCCCAACTTGAGAAGAAAACATGGTAAGTACTGCAAAAGACTGGACCAAAGGCAGAATGACAGCAACTCTAAACATACAGCCAGAGCTTAAATGAAGTGGTCTAAATCAAAGCATATTCATGTGCATGATACAATGACGGAGTAAAAGTGCATGCAGACCTGAGTCCAATAAAGAATTAATGGTAAAACTTGAAGGTTAAGGATTATAAACATCCAAGCTAAGTGAGTTTTAGTCATTGTTACATTTATTTTGTG